GCAAATTTTGGCTACACATATTAAAACCAAAAACTTTTCTAAATTTTGGAAACAAACCAACAATCCAAGGCTGAGAGTCCCTACGAGTATAGATGGTGAAAGTGATGCAAGCAAGGTGGCAAATATTTTTAAAAATCACTTTAAGTGTACCGATCAAAAATCATCGCAGAATTTCGATACAGGTATCCGGGATGGAGATGAAACCACGTGCTTTACGGCTAAACATGTTAAAGACGTAAATAAAAAAATGACACGCGGTAAATCTCCAGGTCACAACAGTATCAGTATCGAACACCTGCAATATGCTGGTGTCCACCTTCCACGTGTCCTGGCAATGTTTGACTTTTTGCATAGGACACTCGTACTTATCTTCTGATCTTATGAAAACGATTGTTGTGCCAGTACTGAAAAATAAAACAGGAGATTCGTCGGACAAAAACAATTATAGCTATCTCCCTGGCTACTACTGTAGCGAAAGTGATGGACAGTCTGCTTGAGAGGAAGTTACAGTCATTCATTAATCTGTATGATGCACAATTTGGTTTTAGACCGCAGTTATTCACAGAAAGTGCTGAACTTTTTCTCAAGCACACCGTACGTTACTACACAAATCGTAGGACACCTGTTATAGGCTGTTTTTGGACCTATCAAAGGCCTTTGATACGGTTAAATACGATATACTTTGGAAGAAGCTGGCTACTGAAACTAATGACTTTCCTAATGACTTAATAGGTCTGTTTCAGTATTGGTACGACAATCAACAGAATCAGGTGAGGTGGGCAGGCGTGCAATCTGAGGCGTATGGGCTGGAGTGCAGAGTAAGACAGGGCGGACAATCTTCTCCTGCACTTTTTAACCTCTACGTGAACAATCTGATTGGCTAACTAGATGGTAGTGGAGTCGACTGCTCTATTGAAAATATTGCATATAACAACATAAGTTACGCCAACGATATGGTGCTGCTGAGCCCATCAATTAGTGGTCTAAGAAAACTACTCAGTATCTGTGAGAAGTATGCAACGGCTCATGGCCTACGATATAATGTCAAGAAAAGTGAGATCATATTTTTCAAATCAAAGTATAAGAGCTACAATTTTCCCACTGTCGCTCTTGAAGGTGTACCACTGAAAAGAGTGACAAGTTTCAAATACCTGGGACACTGGGTTACTGAAAATATGTCGGATGATATTGACATAAGAGGGAATGCAGGGCTTTAGTTATGAGAGCGAATATGCTCGCCCGTAGATTTGCAGGGTTTAATATAGAAGTAAAAAAAACTCTATTCAGAGCCTATTGTTAGTCCTTTTACACCTGCAGTCTATGGGTTGAGTATATACGGAGGATGCTCACAACCCTGCGCGTCCAATATAATAACGGCTTCAGGATGCTGATTGGGCTGCCTCGGTACTGCAGCACGTCAGCAATGTTTGCTGAGGCTCGCATAGACAGTTTCCCAGCTATCATGCGCAAACGGGTTGCCTCCGCATGGCGCCGTGTCCGGGATAGCTCCAAAAGCCTCCTGGCGGCGATAGGGAGTCGCTACTGCTGTCCTATCTTGAGGCACTGGAACAGCGTCCATATCGGCTCGAGACCTGTTCTGGTAAATATAAAGTAGATAGTGTATAGTAATATAGTATGTAACCTTTTAAATTTTATTTATTTACTAACCCTAGCTTATAAGTTCTTTTTGTAATCACTAACCCACTCTATCTACACTTAATAATAACGTACTAATTACTAACATATCATCGTTGGAGCCACACGCAAGTGTGAGTAACGATCCAAGAGCAATTCTTACCCGACACTATTCCGATGATATCCTGGACGTCAGTCTGAGCGAGATTAGAATGGCTCTCCAGCACCTTAAAAAAGGCAGGGCCCCAAGGCGAGGATGGAATTACAGCGGATCTTCTGAAAGCGGGTGGAACACCGGTACTTGAAGTCCTTCAGCAGCTCTTCAATGCCGTCCTCTATGGTGGCACTACTCCGGAGGCGTGGAGCAGAAGTGCGGTGGTCTTGTTCTTTAAGAAAGGCGACAACGCTCTCTTGAAGAACTACAGACCGATTTCCCTTCTGAGCCGCGTCTACGTGCTGTTTTCGAGAGTCATTACGAATCTTCTCGCACGCAGACTCGACGACTTCCAGCCTCCCGAACAAGCCGGTTTCCGAAAAGGCTTCAGTACCATAGACCACATACATACCCTGCGGCAGATTGTACAGAAGACCGAGGAGTACAATCTGCCACTTTGCCTGGCGTATGTGGACTATGAGAAAGCCTTTGATTCCGTCGAAATTTGGGCGGTGCTAAAGTCCCTTCAGCGGTGCCAAGTTGACTGTCGGTATATCGAAGTGCTGAAGTGTTTGTACAGTAGGGCTATGATGGCTATCCGAGTACAGAACCAGAGTTCGAAGTGTATCCAACTGCAGAGAGGTGTAAGACAGGGTGACGTTATATCCCCGAAACTCTTCACCGCTGCGTTGGAAGACGTTTTTAAGCTACTGGACTGGAAAGGATACGGTATTAACATCAATGGCGAGTACATCACTCACCTTCGATTTGCCGACGATATAGTCCTTATGGCAGAATCGCTGGAGGACCTTAGCACTATGCTCAATGACCTCAATGATGTCTCCCAACGGATAGGTCTTAAGATGAACATGGACAAAACAAAGATCATGTTTAATGTCCATGTCTCACCTATGCCGGTAGTTGTTGGGAGCACTATGCTCGAAGTTGTTGACGAGTACGTTTACCTGGGACAAATAGTCCGACTAGGTAAGTCCAACTTCGACCGAGAGGTCAATCGACGGATTCAACTCTGCTGGGCAGCGTTCGGGAAATTACGACACATCTTCACGTCAGGTATACCTCAATCTCTGTAAACTAAAGTGTACAACCAGTGCGTGTTGCCAGTGATGACTTACGGATCAGAGACGTGGTCCTTCACCGCTGGCCGTATGAGGACGCTCAAGGTTGCTCAGCGAGCTATGGAGAGGGCTATGCTCGGAGTTTCTCTGCGTGATAGACTCAGAAATGAGGATATCCGCAGTAGAACCAGAGTGACCGACATGGCCGAACGGATTAGTAAGCTGAAGTGGCAACGGGCCGGCCATATAGCTCGAAGAACCGATAACTGATGGGGAGAAAGGTTCTCGAGTGGCAGCCTCGTACCGGTAGGCGTAGTGTATGGCGACCCCCCACTAGATGGAGTGACGACCTGGTAAGACATGCGGGAAGTCGATGGATGCAGGTGGCTCAGGACCGTGCTTTGTGGCGTTGCTTGGGGGAGGCCTATGTTCAGCAGTGGACTTGTGAAGGGCTGTAATGATGATGATGATGAACCCACTCTATGGAAAGAAATTTCTGAAATAAATAATAAAAATAAATTTTCATAGTGCGAGGTGATTGTGATAAACAAATATTTGTATGCCTTTTTAGGTGAAACATAGTGTTACTTATCATACCTTTTCCACCAAGTTTGTAACTTTTTACCTATGTTTTACAAATAAATTATTTGATTTGATTTATAAATCTGGATGAAATTTAATTAAAATGAATTTCAAGCATCGGTATTAACTGATTTTACGTTAAAAAAATTCTACCAAACCCAGATTTGAGTTTTGCAGAATATATAAAATTGATAAATTAACAGCTTATTAAACGTCCTGCTGGGCACGAGTGTATCATTGAGAGGTGTCTGCAAAATTACTTTGTCAAACCAAATAAAGTGAGAGAAACCTACATGTCTGGTTCAAGGTGCCGGTCCGAGAAACATGTTGGTAGTGGGGAGAGGCAATGTAGCCCCTGCTCGCCACAGCCGAAATGAAGTCGCGAAGGAAAAGTAGTATTGCTATGGCGAGGTAGCAATCACTTTATTCTCAGCGACCCTGCTCGGCGCTATTTAAAGTGCTGATTTACCACGTGTTTGGCGGTTAAGGAAAATATCTGGATTTTTTTTTGATTACCTTAAAGAATTATTTTCTTTACCATTATAGCTTTTAAAATCCACTGGTGAACATAAGCCTCCCAATAAATTCCCACATGGAAGGATCCCGCCACAGGTATCCTGCATAGCGTGTGAGTTGGCAAACGTTGTTTTTTATAATTTCGAATTGTTACCAGGAAGATGCTGCTGTAGTTTCCCTCTATCAGCTCTTACGACTTCACGCTATTATATGGGATATTATTCCACCACCACGCCACTGCAAGGACAATTTCATTATCTGACAAATGACATTACATTTTCGATAGAATCAGGGGTTACTTTGCGGAAATTCATTATAATAAAGATATTAAAATTAATTAGCAACCATCCGCTCAATTAAATACTAAATGTAATAATCTAATGTGTCCTACCTGGATTGAAGAGCATCTCCCGCCCTCCCTCAATTGCATGCAATAATCCCGTCACCACTAGTCCCAGCACCACTACTCCCAGCACCACTACTCCCGGCACCACTACTCACAACACCACTATTCCAGGACAGACACACCATCGACGACAATACGACACGTGTTTCGCCTCTACACGAGGCATCTTCAGCTGATGTAGACTCTACGGCGGCTGACCGCTAAGATCAGAAGAGAAGCTGCCGATAAGATCAGAAGAGAAGCTGACGATGAAGATGCCTCGTATGGAGGCGAAACACGTATCGTATTATCGTCTATGGTGTGTCTGTCCTGGAATAGTGGTGTTGAGAGTAGTGTTGCTGGGAGTAGTGGTGCCGGGAGTAGTGATGTTGGGAGTAATGGTGTTTGGAGTAGTGGTGCTGAGACTATTGGTGACGGGATTAGTGCATACAATTGAGGGAGGGCGGGAGGTGTCAATCCAGGTAGGACACATCATTGTATTTAATTGAGCTAATGGTTGCGAATTAAATATTAATATCTTTATCATTACATTTTCCTCGTAATCTTGCGACAGCGAGATGGAGTTATGAATTCTGATGCCAGTAAACAGCGATTCTTATCAGTAGTAGAGAGTATCACAAGTACTTACGGAGTGCAGCCTTCTAGCCGCGTCGTGTATGGACAGTATGTGTGTAATTTTGTATTTGTCCAGCTGCACTATGTCCTTGGAGTCCCTGTAGTTACCCACGTAAAGGCCGGGTAGCACCTGCGCAAAAATATCTTTGGTTAGCTTAACCAAGAGAGCCCTTTAGAAAAATGTATGGGACCGTCGTTTTATCAAATAATGATTTAGATAGGCATATAGATTATTATTGCACACATCAAACCACAAAATACAAAATATTCTTAGAGTAAAATAAAATAAAATACAAAATCTTAAAAGGGGGGCCCAATGGGCGGTTTAACGCCAAAAGCGATTTTTTTAGACAACCCTTTAGGAGAAATCAGCTAATTCGGCTAATTAAAGTCAATAATTCCTAATTTCATAGTTACCTCGACATATATAATAATTACTTATTTACTTATATGATATTTATTTAAAACTTCATATACACACGTGCTATATAAATATTTACGTAGATACTACAGGTATTTGTGTATACAGGTTTATTTTACAATAACCGGCCAAATTTGCAGAGAAGGTTCGGTACAAGTAATATAGGCAAAGGGTGAAGAAAAATTAGTAAAAAAATTTCAAACATTCTGTCCTTTTTATCTATTAAATTCAAAATGCGTAGTAATAAATTACCTATTTTAACTGATTTTACTGCGTACGCACACATTAGTAAGGGTCGATCGATAGACAAAACCGTTGTTGCCCATATATCACATTCAATTTGGGATAATTTCAAATGCATGTAGAAGCCTTATTTACTCATATTTTTAAAAACTGTAATAACGGTAACTGTAGTAATCATTATCATCATCATCATCATCATCATCATTACAACCCTTCACAATTCCACTGCTGAACATAGGCCAAGGAATGACACACAAAGGACGGTCCTAAGCCACCTGAATCCATCGACTTCTTGCATATCTTACCAGGTCGTCACTCCATCTAGTCGGAGGCCACTCTACACTTCACTTACCGGTATAAGGCTGTCACTCGAAAACCTTTCTTCCCCATCGGTTATCGGTTCCTCGAGTTATATGGCCACTCCATTGCCACTTCAGCTTATTAATTCGTTGGCCTATGTCGGTTACTCTGGTTGTACTGAGCATACCCTCATTTCTAATTCTATCACCCAGGGAATCCCCGAACACAGGCTAGGGACCACATTGGCCACAAGATTTCTGATTAATAATTTCTCAAAAACGCCTCTTACGAAATCCATAGAACGACCAGGGATGATGGATTTTTTTCTTTTTCACCACTAATCATATTAATTACTATCTTTTAACCGACTTCAAAAAAGAGGGCGTACTCAATTCGACTGTATGTTTTTTTTATGTGTGTTACCTCAGAATATTTTCTACGTGAACCGACTTTCATTTATTGTTTTATTTTAAAGCTGGTGTTTCTCGTGTCTATATAGATTTTATCAATATCTGATCAGTAGTTTTTGAGTTATCCATTATTAAAGACTTAATTGACTTTTAATACATTGATGATGTTCTATTTTATTTTTATTGAGGTCGGTTGTATAATATTTTTGATTTTACCACTAGTATTCTTAAAAATGTATTAAGTGCTCAAGAATTCTTACCTAATAAATTGTTTAAACGTTAAGCTGATATAAATTTTCATTTTCAAGTCTGTAGCGCGCACTAATTAGAATGAAGGAAGAGGTAAGTAATCACGCCTTGAGAAACGAGAATAATAATAACACAAAACCGCTTTTCACGACAAGCGGAGGGTCTATATAATATCTGCACAACAATGCAAGATAATTATGTTTTAAAACGCAATAGTATGAATGAAAAAAATCTTAATTTTATATATTTTCAGATACTCATTTTTATAAGTGTACGGTTCGATTTAAATTTGACACCGTTACTGTTACCCTTACAGCCTATTGAAGTCCACTGCTGAACATAGGCCTCCCCCATAGATTGCCTCGTAGATGGGCTACTTGCCATAGTTGCCACGCTAGGCAAGCGAGTTGGCAACCGCAGTTGCCCATCTCCTGAGTTTTTCCCTTGTCGCCGGGATCATATGGGGTAGAGGATATTCTTACACCGCCACCACACGGTAAGAATTTGTCACGTGTGAATACTTGAATGTACGACGTGTCAATACTTAAATTATATGAAATTTATAATTTTAAATAGTTCATCATATTTAAAATATTTGTTTCAAGTAAAACAATAAAATTTCATTTTCAAAATAAAAGAAATATATATTTAATTTAGATTTTTTTTTATCGTGTTCTAATATTTTTATAAAAACAAATTAATTAATTCCCATTGCCATTCTTGAAGTTATGAACAGATATCAAAGAGATTACGGACTATCCTGCATAGAATCTACATACACAGGCTATGACCCTATTACAAGAGATCTTTGCTCCTCATTATTACTATTATGGCTTATAGACTGCATTGTATTCATTTAGTTACCGTTCTTTTTTGGCGGTTGGTCTGTAAGCTCGTTTTTCACGTCATTTATTATAAAAAAGTATTTGCCACATTTGCTTTATTTTTTATTCTCACTTAATGCTGACTGAAGTGTGACCGCACAAGTTAAGTTAATCACGGCAAAGTCCTTTGATGCGCGAGGGCTAACCGACGGCGAAGCAAAAAATCTTCGGCTTCACCCGAAGTGCCGAAGTCTTTGTCACGATTTGGCTATATTGCAACAACTCGAATATTCGCCGTTTCACGATATTCAAATATAGAACAACATTATCGATACTTTACATAAACTAGTACTAGTAGAGTAATAGTAAACACAGCTGAGGTTAACTGCAGCATGACATAGAACACGGATCGGATTTGTATTGAACATTCATTTCACTCATTTGCGGGGGAAATCTGCGCACAAAAAACAAGTCGTCTGTCGCTAAGAAACTCACACGTAATAATTTAAACAAGGGGTGCGTTTGGCAGAAAAAAGCGCTAGCAAGCGCTTGCAAGCAAAATGGCGATCGTAAGCGGTAAGCGCTGTCAAATCGTAAGTAGCTATTTTCCTCTAGGACAAGAAGTTAATTTTAACCGGGGAACCTAACCTAATTTTAATATATGTTTGTAAAGTATTCATATTAAAAACTTACTGATCATGAATTTTTAATAACATGTATATGTCTATTCATGTCATTATATTACTTAAAACTTATATTGCACAAAAAAAAAACTTATAAACTACCTACTTCAATACAAACAAATTAAATAAGCAAAATGGCGGATTGTGTCAGCGCTACTGAAGTAGCAATCGTGTCCTGGCCGAAAACTATTTCAGTGCTTGTAAGCGCTTGCTAGCGCTTTTTTCTGCCAAACGCACCCAATGAATTTCGCTATAGTTTTCAACAGTATCGCTCAGTGATTGCAACAACTCGGATCAGTCACTCGACCGATCTGCAATTTGTATGATGGCAAGCGGCCTGTGCTGGTAAACACGACAACACGACCGTTATTATTTTAATTTTTAAGTTTAAGATTAAGTAAACGAAGTAAGTAAAGAAAAATCAACAATCTGATTTAAAGTTATTTATTTATATATGAAAGGTAATGCCATCTTTTTGTAAATTTAACGTGGCATTTTTTTTTGCAGCAAATAACTGAACAATTTTGCATTTTTGTGGGACCTCGATTCTGCCGCGCAACTAGACTTAGTCTAATGAGCAGTGAGGCTGCAACTAACTAGTTTTATTGTACGCATTAGCCCACGTGGACTTGAATTTGACAGAGAGGAACACCTGCGTATAGCTACTCCCTTCGGTCCGCCGGTGGGCCGTGTTGCTCTATACCTGATGTTAATGATATTTTTAACCGAAAACACCAATTAAAAAGTCTTACGTTTTTAGAACCATTTTTTTAACTAAAATATTCTAGTTATTGTTGATTTTTGTAGCAATTCTTCTCTAAGACCCTTACATATTAATGTTACGAGCTTAAGGTTCCTTGAGGTTCGTGACAGTAAAAACTGCCGATTGAATTACCAAAATTTACACTTTTATTACCGAACACCAATTAAAAGTTAAAAGACACTAATTCACTTTATTTCGCTCCGAAGCTTCGCTTGTCTCGCCAAATTCAATACTGCCCCGATCGCGGCTTGCAGCGGCTTTAAATACACCTTTTACACCGAAACATCCAGAATATTCCAGTAAATACGGGCGCCAACCGACCAGACGCAGAAAGTTCGAGTGTGGAGCTTCTAGAAAGCTTAATTCTTCTGTTCAATACTAGATGGCGCTGTTGGTCGAAAGTTCAAGATTGACATTTTCTAGGAAGCCCTCCTGGCTCTGGTCCCCACGACACTAGATGGCGCTAGTGCCAGGTATCTGACGGCAACTTAGGCGCGCAACAATAAGGAATTCTTTACTTGGAAACACTTTACTATTTTGCATTTCGGTAGTAGGGTATGATTCGTAGGAGTAAGATAATTCTAACATTTTCTCAACTAAATATTTTTTATGGCTGAGCATAGTTCGTATAACAACGTTCCTGTCAGCTATGGAATATATTGGCGATGTTGTTAAAAATATAGCAAATGTTTTCTCTTACATATTCTCTTACTGACTAGAAGCTAACTAACCATTTTTGTAGGCATAACATTGTTAGCTACTCTATTATCGCAACATTATTTATTGGCAGCTGTGCTTCTCGCAAATAACAAGTTAAATAGAGAATATCTAATAATAGAATTAACTGGCAGAATGCCCATTTAAAACAGAAATCAATGACATTCAGATATACCTGCATAATAATGTATCGTCCCAGCAGCCTCTTGAACTTAAGCTATAAAATTGTTTACTACAGTTGACTTTTCAATCCGTAAAATTTGACTCAATCGATAGCTGTTTTTTAATGATTACAATTTTTTATTATGTTAATCCTACTTACACAACATGTAACATAATTAACGCACTTTGAGAAAGTAGTTTGTTCAGAATCGTTTATTGAATCGAATCCTATCATTTTTAATATAGGTAATTTTTTATCCTAAAAATAATTAAAACTACGTAAATTACAGTCACACTAAATCTGTACAGTCAAAACAAACTGAAATGGACCGTAACTTAAGGCAATGACTTTTAAGAC